GCTTTCTATAGTAAACCAGGCCAAGATTCCAAGCCTAACAGGGTTCCAAAAAAGTAATGTAAAGTGTCATGACTCCTGTAAGGTCATTCATTAGCACACCTGGACAGCTCTATTCCCCAAACTGCCTTACTTTATTCAGTAAGGTAGGCATTTGCAGAAACAGGGACTCAGGGCTCTTTTCTCTCAGAGAAGTAGGTTAATCAGGAAGCTCTCCTTTTGGATTCCTTACCTGTGGCTGCACAGAACCGTGATTCTTAGCTGCATGGTATCACAGTTTCAAACTGCTAGCAAGGCAACTTCCCTTCCTGGGAAGTTACGAATAGGAATTTGAACCTTGCAAGCCTGAAGACAGAGCATTTGACCAAGAGACAGGAGATCTGTACTCCATGCTACCTGCTCAGCTATTATAACCAAATTTCCACCCTAGCAGTGGGAAGTGCAAGGGATCAAAATGCCTCATATAATGGTAAGGTTCAGCTGGCACAAAGATCTTCTGGTTATCAGGCTAAGCTGGCTTCCCAGCTGTAGGTAGCTTTGTTTCTACAGGTGACAGGTACTAAGCCAGGTCAGGTCTGGCCCAGCTGCCCAGCAAATAAGCCCTGCAAGAATCCAAAGTGACTACAGACCAAGCACTAAGCCTGAAACAGTAAGTTCTGCTAGATCTGAGCCAAATGAGACACGTGCACAAGAGGCTCATTTCAGAAGGTCAATACAGGCACACTTAAGTTCTGACCAGGGCTGGCCTTAGTCCAGAAGACCTATTAATTACCTGAGAACCAGTTCCAGGTAAATGTTGCACTTTCACAACTAATCTGGCTCTGTGAATTCACACTATGCTTGACCTAGAAAAGCAAGTGGTCCACAGTCCTCCAATTTTGTTTCACAGGATTCACTTATGGTTCAGAACAATATGACAGCACTAATATGATGAGGATTTTTTCCCCATTCTCCAGTGTATCCAAGGCACTATTATTCGAGCCAGTCAGATGGAATCTACAAAATGCATTTTTTTTTCATTCATCTCTCCAAAAACTAGTCAGCTCATGATGCAAAGTTGACTGTATAATAACAATAAGCACCATGTCTTCTTCCTCCTATCATGTTCTAAAATAAGAGTGAGTCATGGGTCTTTTACTAAAGGAGCAGTTAAACACACCAGCTCCAAAAGAAGACTCTGGAACATATATCCCCATGACTGCCTTGCTGGAGTCACAGACAGATTTCCTCTCCTCACCATTTTCAATTGCTAAGCCTAAACATACTGTACAGTGGTTATAATGTAACACATCCAGGTTTAAGATGTATGTCTTTAGTACATTTTATATGAACCATAAATCAGTATCTGGATTCCAGTCTGAGGTAAAAACCCGTCAGGTGTGGCGCTTTAGCATTTACCTTGTGTTCTTGCACTTTCTCTGCGGGAGGAGGATGACAGTGTAGTTACAGCATCCCAGTAGGGGAGGAAAGTATTAAAACTGACAAAGTATCCAAGTACTTCAGCAAACAAAGTGGAATGTTGAGCGATCATAACAAAGCTCTTGACTGAATGAGTGTTAATGATTATTTTGTTCTCCATCTACATACACTTTTTTAGTTCGCATAAACATTTAAGACCTCTTCTGAAAACAGGAAAAATAAAGTCTTTAACATGAACTTTGCAATCAAGAAACAATAAGGAATACAGATGTTATGAATAACCCACTGTCACAACCAGTCTGTTGCCACATCCAAAAGCTGGCACTGCAGTCTGGAAGATTGCCTGGCAGTTGTATAGTAATGTTGAAAAGCAACAGGCCATCAGCCACCCAATGGGGAAATGCAGCTTGTTGAGAAACAGAAGATCATTCTGTTAAGTTTTGGCTTGACATACACATCACTTTCCACAATGCTTTATACTACCAAAAGGTGAATGTACTTGCTTGAAAAAATTACGTCTTAATGAAGTTCTAAAGACCTCAAAGAAATAATCAGGAAGCTTCAGATTCTTCAGACTATCGTGGATTAACTTTTACTCACTAGTAAACATCATTATTTGGTGTCTTGATTCATGCCTCACTTTTACAATGAGGCCTCTGTTTATTCCTATTGACAATTTATATTAGTATATGGCTCTAGAGTTATATACAATGAAACACAGAGAAAAGGAGTATATGATATTCCCATGAAAAGCATGTAGTTCACATTATACCTACACTTGCAACTCCTGCCAAGGTGCTATAGCCATTTGTACCAGTATGGGAAACCAGATAAAATACATTCACTGTTCCTATCTACTTTGATTTTATAATTCTTGCTTCTGAGAAACTAAGCAAAACCAGTTAAAAAAACCCCAACCAAACCAAAGCATTTGAGTACGCTGCAGACAGTGGTGGCAAAGCTCTAGATTTCACGTGCTCTAATACAAACATAGGATGATGTGCAGGAATTCACAAATCCTAGATTTGCACCACTAAGATTGGACTCTGCTGAAAAAAGATGCCTGGTGTCTATTTCTCTTGTTCACGGAACTTCGTGTTGTTATCCCCACTGCTGTAAAGCAACATCACTGTAAAATGTTATCAAACTACACATTTTCCACTGATGTAAATGCCTGTGAAAGTGCGAGGCAGAGAAAAGTAAGACCTAGAGAGTTGTCAGCCTGAATTTCCTTTCCTGTATCCTTCAGGCTTCTTGAAGATTACACAAATTTGACTGTATTTCCCTATACCTGTCAAATCCCGAAGCTTCCAGATATCAGAATGGTTTCCAGTGCACATTACCTTGCAGTTCCATCCAGATAACCCACTGGAGCAGTAAAGATGATCTTTAAAGGCTCACTCTCTCCCCATGCCTCGCACAGCCACAAGCCTTTTCACCCTGGCATACGTTTTCCGATGGCATCACTGGGAATTCTTCTGTGTTGAAGAAATACTGAAGAAAAATAAAGCAGCAGAATGCTGTACTTGTTTCCAGCTTGCAGATCAATCACAGGCAGCTCTTGTGCAGACAGCAGGATCTGGCTTAAAGTGTCAATTATCATATGAATACAGTGAATAATTACTACAAAATAAAGTATAAGCAGGAGCTAAATGAAGATCATCTGGCATTGTAATTCCAAATTTTCCGAACAGCTTTTTCCATCTGCAATTAATTCCTCCTCCTCCTCAAACAACTCTACCTTGAATATTAGTGCCACATACTGGATATGTTAACAAATTAACTTCAACAGATTTCACTATACGAAATCGGGATGCACTGACTCTGAGGTATAGTTAGTCAAAGAGCAGTATTTATCTTTCTAATGATAGCATGTAAATTTTGTACTTGTATATTATCAAGCTTATGTAAAAACTTCACATTTCTTAATTGCATGATAAAATTATTAAGTCTGCTCATAAAAGAAACAGAAAAATCAAACTCTGTGCCAAATTAAATTCCCTGTCCTGGAGAGTTAGTAAGTCCAGACAGCTCCTGATATTCTCATAATTACCCTTAAAAGCCCCTTACTGTTGGATTTTACTGTGTTTTGTATGTTTTGATTCAGGATGAGACTTAAGGGGGAAGCAGCCTGACATTAACTGCAGCATCTCAAGAGCTTTAGTCCAAACACACACATACACACACGGGGTGCTTTTCTCCTTCACTAGGACAAGGGTTGCTGAAATTGGTCATTATCTGTTCCAGTCACAACAGCTTTACAAACTTCCTGGAAAAAAAAGCCCCAACACCCTACTGGGTACACCAAATGTAAATTTCACCTTTCCTTACCTCACTAATTATATTCAATGTAAACAAGATATCACTGAAACTTAAGCCACAACTTAGAAAAAAACAACCCCCCAACTTTGTAGGAAGTTCTGAACTCTCTATCAAAATAAGTCAAAATGAGACTCACATCACTAAATTTTGTCTTACAGTGAAAATACAAGAAATACTTTTTTATTATATACAGTCCAGTAATTAGTTGCTATTAATGGCACTTGTTATTCTAACACTTTATAGGTAAATGTAATAAAATTTTCTTATGCTGACTAAATCTAATCATTTGGAGATCCTTACTATAGTATTACATAAATAAGCTATACATCTTATGTGAACTTTAAAAGAACACTCATGGTTATAGCAGGCCACACACAACCAAACCAGCTCCCGTCCCCTCCAATCCCCCCCTCCCCCATATAGGAATTCAAAAAGGTGCACACCAGGTGTGCTTGCACTTTATTCTCAAGTTGTAATTTTACTCTTCTCTAATACTAGCTTCTAATATTAGAAGTATCTCTACAATACACCTCTTTCTTCTATTTCCTTTAATTCCTACAACTTTATGTTTTCCCCTCTCTGGATGCTCTGGCTGAACACCAAGCTTAGCTGAGAACTCTAATGCTATACAAGGCAATCTGAAATCCTATTCACAAGTTCAACTGCTGAACTGGCAACTGAGCTGACAAATTAAGACTGCCCAGTAAGCCAGGCCAGCTAGCCTCAGGGATCGAGGTCTGAGGTTCAACGGAGTGCCCTAAGCCAGAAAAGCACACCACAAAGCTTTAATCGCGTTTAATTTTCAGCGGAAGAGCCCGCGGTAGCAGGGGAAGGACTCATGGAAGGCCCAGCTACAGCAACTGTAGCTGCTTTCCACAATCAGCCTCTCTCCCCAGAAGCTCTTTAATCACCCCATTCCTCTGCACCCTTAAAGGGGCACCAAACCCACCCTACCAGCCCTCAGGATTCCAGAGATACCTTTCCCCACTCCACTGAGCCCAGCAGCCTTCCCCTCAACCCTCCCCAACCCAGCCAACCTTCCCACCTCACCAGCCCACTCCCCACACCCCACTGACCCGCTGCACCCCCTTCACCACCACCCCGACGCACTACACCGACGCCTACTCGTTTACCAGCCCGCCCCCCACTTCCTGCCTCATGATTGGCTAGCCACGCCATGACTCCGCCTTCTGCCCATCGCGATTGGCTCTTGTGCCTGAGAGGCGGAGCTTCGGGGGGTGCTGTGCGGTGGGCGGGCGGGCCAGTGTCACGGGCGTTGCTATTGGCGGGAAGGCGACGGCCTGCAGGTTAGGCAGACGCGCCGCCGGGGAGCGGGGTGAGGGAGCTATTGTTGCTTGGATTGCTGAGAAGAAGAGCCGGCAGATACCGGGGCCTCGCTGCTCAGGCCCAGTGGCAGCCATGAGCGGCGGCGTGTATGGGGGAGGTGAGTCTGGCGCCGCCTCACTTACCCGCCCTCCCCTCCCCCCGCGACCGTTGAGCGCGGCACCGTCCCGTGAGGCGGCGCGTGCGAGTCTCTCCCGGGCGCTTCCCGCCTCTCTGCGGCTCCTTCAGGCCCGGACACGGCGGCCCGCGGCCCGCTTCTCCGCCGCGGAGCCGGAGCCCTCCGGGTCCCTCCGTGAGCTAGGCGGGGGGGGTGGTAGCGTGCATGAGGAGGAGGAGGAGCCGGCGGGCGGCCTTGTGTCTCTGCCGGCGTAGTTTCGCTGCGATGCTTTCTCCGGACACCGGCTAAGCCGTGGTCTTTGGCTGATTTAGCGCTTACTCGGGTGCCGAGTGCAGCGGGAAGGCCCCGCGCTTTGGAAACGGGGATGTAGTTTCTTCCCAGAGCATCTGCAGACCTTTCCGTGAGAATGAAAGCCCCGGTATTTTGTTTCAGGTTTTGGTTTTCTTCAGGACGTGCAGAGTAGCTCAGTGAGGATCGGGGCCCACGAGGATGAGGGTGCTTCATATTGTGACAGCCTTCACTTACAGACCTGGTGTTTTCAGGCCCACCTTTCGAATTCGGATCATCTCCGGGAGGTCTGGGCTCACCTGGCTTCCTCTCACTGTTATGCTAGCACTTTCTGAAAGTTTTACCTTGTAATCTATTTAGAGGCAACTATGTTCTCCCTCTCATGTTTAAATTCACCTTTTACATATGCTAATGGAAGATATTGCAGTGTCTCAGTTAAAACTTATTTGCAATTTTCTAATAGCTCTCAGGTAATTGGAACTCTGTATAGAGATGTTTTTCTTTGCCTGGAAAAAGCTGCCTTGGCTTGCTTTTCTTCTTTTGCAAGCAAAACAGGCAGTGGGTAGGGAAAGGTCAGGATTGTAGCAGAGTGTAATAACCATTCACAACCTCTCCATTAACAATCTTTTCAGATGAAGTTGGGGCTCTTGTATTTGACATTGGCTCGTATACAGTGAGAGCAGGCTATGCGGGTGAAGATTGTCCAAAGGTGAGGATCTCGTGACTTAATGGAATTGCAACACGAATTTATGCCTTAAGTCTTGTTGCTTAGTTATGAGTTCTCAGAGTATGTTGGAGTTTGTTCTGACTGTGTTGTATAAGGAAAGCTCTGAATTAATGAACAAAAAACCCACCCCAGACATTCATTTAATTCTCATATATTGCTTACCTTTTGCCTTACAGGTTGATTTTCCAACAGCCATTGGTGTGGTGTTAGAAAGGGACAATGGCAGTACTCTGATGGAGATAGATGGTGACAAAGGCAAACAAGGTGGCCCAACTTACTACATAGACACCAATGCCCTGAGAGTTCCAAGGGAAAATATGGAGGCAATTTCACCTTTAAAAAATGGAATGAGTATGGTGCTTTGTCATTTTGTTTATTTGTGAAATAGCATTGCTAGGCAGCAAAAAGTCATAGCTTTTATTTAAACAGGCTATGTATGGCAGCAGAAGCTATAAGAATGGATACCTGACTTACAAATAGCGTGAGGCATGACTGGTTTACAACTTTCAAACTTTCAACAGAATTCTTGAAGTGTTATGACGATGGTGATTACAGAGTAAGAGAATTCTGTATGGCTGCAAAGAATTCTGTGTCTGCTGGGGGTATCCTTTAGCTAAAGAGCTCTACTCAAAAAAAGCTTTGGAAAACTTCTATCAATTTATGAAATGGAACAAAACTCAGAAGTAACTAATCCACTCACTTCAATGTTGTTACAGTTGAAGACTGGGATAGTTTCCAGGCAATTTTGGATCACACTTACAAGATGCATATTAAATCTGAAGCAAGCCTGCATCCTGTCCTTATGTCCGAAGCACCAGTGAGTAAAAGCAGCTTTGCATTTTGATAAGTCTTGAGTGTATCTTCTTGCTGACTCTATAAACATTAGTGTGGGACAAGTCTGGCACAGGCTTGTAGGTTACAAGTGCTAAAAGTTATCTACAAAAATAGCAAATTTAAAATAATTTGCCAGGTTTTGGGAAGTAATTGTTTAAGAAAATGTCTAGGGAAAAAAAAAAAAAAAGAAAAACCAAAAGCCAGACACAATTTGAAATAGTTTGCGTAGTTATGTTAGAAAGTATCAGAAAGTGTTATTGTTTTTCACATATTGAAGAGTAATAAAAATTAAATATAGTCTTACTTTACTGCCTAGAGTGAAAGCAAAAGCATGTTTGGGTGTCTAAGTACGTACTAAATTACACTTAATAAAATGCCATTGAAAATCTGGCACTTTATTCAGCCTTATGACAAATACTGCATGACAGAGAATAATGGAGAAGTTTTCATTTTTCTGTCTTCGTTTCTGTAAATGGCCCTTTGAGTAAGTGAAGTAGATGTAAAGAAATTTCTGGGAAAATGTATGGACAAGGTTTCTGTTGTTTAATACCGTGCAGCATATGAAGGACAGATCTTAATGTCAGAATACAGAGGATAGCCATATACAATTTATTCCTTTCTTTAATAAAATCTTATGAAAAGAATTTTCTTCTTCATTATTCCCTTGCATTGAATTGTAGTGTGTGGGGTATGGATATATTTGCAATGGCTATTTTATGTTTGATGCCTCATTGTATGTCTGAATAGAGGATCCCATTAGCAGTCTCCTTAGAGAGCTAACCTTTAATGTATTGGCTTGGAAAAAGCTTCATGTTTTCAGCAATATGTACAATGAATATATATATATATATCCTGGCTTAATCTCTGGTACAGTAGAACTGTATGAAAATACCTTGGAATCAGGAAAATCTGGATTTCTTTCAACTAGGCAAGTTACTTCTATCTTTCCCCTTGTAAAATAGGCATGTTGCTTGTTTCTTAGAATTCTTTGAGAGACTGAGACTTAGAAAGCTGTATAGTGTAAAGAAATCCGTTGTAACAGTGAAAATGCATATCATTTCTGTGTGATAGGTAAGTAGTAATGTAGTAGAATTGGAATAGAAAAGGTTCTGAAGAAGTAAATTGCTAGAAATCTGTCTCTATGAATTTTTGTATGATTTGAAAACATGGCTATAATAATTCTAACTACTAGGGAAATACGTTAGCATTCTTTTAGTGTACTCCAGTTGTCCTCAAGATAAACATCTCTTCCCTTTGATTGTTTATTTGTGGTTTGGTATGTTTTTTTTTTTATTTTAGTGGAATACTAGAGCAAAGCGTGAAAAACTGACTGAATTGATGTTTGAACACTACAACATCCCTGCTTTTTTCCTGTGTAAAACTGCTGTTCTAACAGCGTATCCTTTGGAATGTTTCACCGCTTCTTCTTTCCGCCTACCCCAGGAAATGACAGTAAATTTATTATAGGCAATTCCTAGTGTAACAGCATGTCTAAATTTTCTTCTTTCAAATTAATTTTTCCATAAGCATCTAAGGAGGAAATAAACAAATTTCATTTATGAACTTTAAAGCTGCTGAGCTCACTTTTGAAATGCTCCCAATCTGAATATTTTGCTTTGAGGCAATGTCTTTTTATTTTTATTAGTTCTCCCTTTTAGTTTTTTCTTATTGTATACCATGGGTAAGAACATTACAGACCTAAAATGGTGTTGTTCAGACTACTGAATACAGTAATTAGAGCTTGAAGTTCCCGTAGCCTTAAGATTAACATTTGTAATTATTTTAAACTAATAACATGTTTTCAGCTTCAGACTCCAAATTAGTTGAATGTTCTTAGAGCTTGTTGCATGGTATTGACGTGAAGTCTCACCTTTGTACATCCAGAGCTCAAGTCAGTTCACAGCTGGAAGTTAAATGCCATTCATGCTGAGGTTGTGCACTTAGTAGACAAATGATGCACACTGGAAAACAGCAAATCCTTTTGTAGAGCCAAGGAATAACACCTTGGGGTCCTAGTTATGCTGCAGTTGTAGACAACTTTTTTTTCCTGAAGTGAAAATGACAATATTTTCCATAATCATTTTGGCTAGTTTTGCTAATGGGAGATCTACAGGTCTCATTTTGGATAGTGGAGCAACACACACCACTGCTATTCCAGTGCATGATGGATATGTACTTCAGCAAGGTAAAAAATTTTTATGGCTAACAGCATTGTAGTGCCAAGGTTGAATTAGCTTGCTTTCTGCTGTTACTGTTTTTAAAGCTGTGCAACCCGTAAAATATGGAGGGGAGGGGAGCCCCAGAACAGTCTAATGGTGTTCACTAACAAATGGTTTGTTAGGAGAGTTTATCCATGATTTCTGTGCTTTCAAGGGTGATGGGTTTTTTTGGTTCTTTTTTTTGTCTTCAAGGTATTGTGAAGTCACCACTTGCGGGAGACTTTATAACTATGCAATGCCGAGAATTGTTTCAAGAAATGAACATAGAGATAATTCCTCCATATATGATTGCTTCAAAGGTGGGAAAGTAATTTATTAATAAGCTTTTTCTTGAGGAGAGGTTTAAATGATTAACTGATGATCATGGTTTTTACAATCTCAGGAGGCAGTTCGTGAGGGGTCACCAGCAAACTGGAAGAGAAAAGAGAAGTTACCCCAGGTCACTAGGTCTTGGCACAACTACATGTGTAATGTAAGTAGGCCATTTCTCCCACTCTCAGACTCCCCTAGCTGACCCATAAAGAAATTTCGTTTGCAAGTATATCATGTTTTCCTCTTGAAGAACTAAATTCTTTAAGAAGTCAGCATTTATATAAAATCGAAGACTGAAATTCTTTTAACCATATTTTTCTTAACTCCATAGTGTGTCATTCAGGACTTCCAGGCTTCCGTCCTCCAAGTATCAGATTCAACGTATGATGAACAGTATGTCACTGTTTTCATTCTTGCAAAATTAATTATCAGTTGTGCATGGGGTGCTTAGCTTGTTCATTGCTGTTGGCTGGTTTTGTCACAGAGGTATTTTTTGGATATAAGATGTTTGTTTCTGAAAGTAGAAATACAGTGTGCATACAGGTGATAGCCTTTTATTTAATATTCCAAGATGCATGACTTCACAATAGATATTGGAAGTGTTATGTCATATAAATCACAATATTCCCATTTAAAACTTAGTTTATAATGCTAATTGGATAACTTCCCGTTTACATAGCATTTTAATGTGTTACTTTCTGGCTGATGCTCCAGGGTAGCAGCGCAGATGCCGACAGTTCATTATGAGTTTCCTAATGGCTATAACTGTGACTTCGGTGCTGAGCGTCTAAAAATCCCTGAGGGATTGTTTGACCCTTCTAATGTAAAGGTAAAACAACTATGCTATGTAGGAATTGGAAGGCTGTAAATTGCTAGATTTACACATGGCTTCCTTCTGTATGATGCTCTTAATTTCATAATTTGTATGTGTGTATTTACAGTGTGCAGTTCTGCAGGAAGAATTTGCCTGTGTTTTATTAAGGTTGGACAAGTGAAGAATAAAATGTCGTTCAAACTGGGTGATGATGAGCTGGATGGGGGAATAGTGTTGTTTGGGTGGTTTTTTTTGGTGTTTTTTTTTTGTTTGTTTGTTTTGTTGGTTTTTTTTGTCTTTTTTTTTTTTTTTTTTTTTTACCTTCCCTGAAAATGCCTGTGTAGTAATACTTGTAAATTGAACTCATCTGGGGCTTTTATATGTCTTGCTCTTTTGAAGTGATGATGTATAGATTACCAATTTTAATTCTAGGGTTTATCTGGTAACACAATGTTGGGCGTGAGCCACGTTGTCACAACAAGCGTTGGTATGTGTGATATAGACATCAGGCCGGTAAGTGTTAAGTCAGATGTGTATTGTTATAAGGCATAAATAGTTTTGTGCTGATAGAATTTTTTGGGACTAGAACACTGTTGATGAAGAAATGTGATTTCCTAGGATAATGATAAACACATGAGAATAATTCTCCAAATAATATGTACACATTTGTATATAGGAATATGTACAGTTACAGTTTTGTCTTACAGAATGCTAAATCAGGATTTATTTACCTAGTGTTTCTACCAGTATTTAAGTAGCTAGTATCCAGATCTTGTGGCTGGCACTGCATAGGGTGCGTGGGATTTGCTTCAGGTGAGCATTTGGTGCTCATAACTTTGAGTGCCATCCTTGGACTTCTGGGCATGGCAGTTATACTTTCTAAATGTAACCAGTCTTAGGAACTTTCTGTAGAGAGTAGAAGGAAGAAATGAGATTTTTAAATGAAAACTTTATTTTTAAAACTATGTTCTAACTTTCTCAGTTTGAAAATACTCAAGTTTGATACAGACTGCATGGGGGTTGTTTCAAAAATGTTTCCTCTTAAGTGGCGTGGCAGGCAGGCTTAGGCAAGCACATGGTTTTTGTTCAGCAGCTGCAGCATTAGTGAGACTGAAAACTGTTGCAGTGCTGTGGGGCTTTCCTTTGTGGTTGGAACACGGGGCTGTAAGAAAACAATTTGGATACAGGAGGTATCTGTAGGTGTAGGGTTTCCTATACTAGAAAATATTCTGTGAAATCATTTAGAATTGTTAATCATGTGTCGTCTGTCTTCCTTGTATATAAGCTGTCTTGAAAGTTTTTTCAACTGATTAAAAAGTAATTGGACTGAGGTAGTATTGTTGCCAAGTGTGTCACACAACTGATGTATTATTGCTGTTGATAAGATATACTTATGTGCCATTCCTCTATTCTGTGAAACAGTTTTTTCAGTATGATTTCAGAGTTAACACTGTAGATTGATTATTCTCTTTTTAGGGCCTCTATGGCAGCGTGATTGTAGCAGGAGGAAACACTCTAATACAGAGTTTCACAGACAGATTGAACAGAGAGCTGTCCCAGAAAACTCCACCGGTAAAACAGCTCTTTTAATTACTGCATTGAGTTACTTATTATTTTGGGGTTTTGCCACATAAATACACAACTATGTGTTGTAACTCTGACTTTGTTAGGATCCCAACAGCTGGAGAAACTTCTCTGGGATAAGAAATCTCCCCCTTCTCTAAAGAAATGAAAGAAGTCTTGAAAAAGTCTTGTATGACATGAATTTCAGCAGCTAACAGCTTTCTGAATATTTACTTCTCTATTCGTGCTTTCAGATTGTGATTTTAAGTTCTGTAATTGTCCCTAAGCAACAGTCTCTTCTCCCCTTGGTGGCCTCTCTTCTGAAGTGTTCCTGACTAACTTGAGGCACATTCAGTCATTCTGCCTGAGGTCTTGTCACTTTGTCACAGGGATTGACCTACTCATAGATGAAACCTTGTGATTTAACATACTTGTTTTTTTTTAATCACTTGGTGTCAAAGAAAATATTAATACCTGAGTGTTCTTGAGAGCATATATAGCGTATGAAATTTCTTGAGTATTCCGAAAATACTCACAGTAACTCTTAAATCATAAATGTTATTAGAACCAGGGAGGTAGTTACCTGCTGCTGCTGCTTATAATAGCTGAAGAGGAGCCCACTGAAATTTGAAGATTTTATTACAGTAAGGTATTTTGAAAGCAAAAGGAATGAATGGGTCCAGAAAGGACCAGCTGAACTGCAGCAATGTTAGACATTTTAGTTCCAGTGCACATTTTAATTAATCCAGTGTTAAAGATAATGATATATGCTGTATTATTGATCTCTGCCTGGTCCTAAGCAATAAGCATCCTCTTGGGAAGCAGTATAAAAGCTACACACGTTCTGTTCCAGTGTGGTTATTCTTGAATTCTAAGTACAGGGCAGATGAGCATTATTGCAAGCTTAACAAAAATGACCTTTTCACTTGCATGTTGGGATATACACTAAGGTCCTTGTGCTTGCCTTTGTTTGTCCATAAAGGTCACCAGCTTACTATTTGTCTGATTTGTTCTTTCATTTACCTTCTCTATTCAGAGCATGCGTCTGAAGTTGATAGCAAACAACACAACAGTGGAGCGAAGGTTCAGCTCATGGATTGGTGGTTCGATTTTGGCTTCTTTGGTTAGTAAGCCTGAGTTACTGTGTTGTTTGTCAAAAAACCTAATTCTACATAAGCATGCATTGCAGAGTTTGTGCTAACATAGCAGTCGTAATCTTGTCTGTCCTTGTAGTAAGGTGAAGAGAATCAATTTAGAGAACAAGACAACATGAGCATTCCCAATCAAAAAATAACTCGCTGTGTTCTCCCATTTTTAATGGCAAGGCACAGGCTTGAAATATGATAGGTAAAAATGTCATGTATACAGTACATCTTGAAAGTAGCAAACTTGTAGAATGAAGCTCAGGAATATAATGCAGAAGCAAGTTACTGAATACCAAAATGGTTTGTGGGAATTTAACATAGCAGTGAAAAGGGAGACTGAAATTGGCTTTTGGTACTGCAACTTCCTGTCTTTTGTTTAATTGCTAGCAATATAAATCTCCAAAGAAAAGATAAGCAGGTCAGGTCCTCTTAGCTTGTTTAATGTTAAGACTTGCTTGGTTTTCCTCCTAGCAAAAGCTAATCATGTTTCACTTTCATTTGTTTTTTTTTTTTTTTTATTTATTGAGTTGTTTTGTTTTTCTTGTAGGGTACTTTTCAACAGATGTGGATTTCTAAACAAGAATATGAAGAAGGAGGGAAACAGTGTGTAGAAAGAAAATGTCCTTAAATCTCTTACTGTGAAAACTGCTGCCTGCTCAGTGCTCCTTCTGTTTTATAGCTTTAGCATACTCAGGAATGGGATGGACTTTTTTTGTAGAAAGTTTATATTGGATTTTTTGCATAATTCAAGTTCCATTTTAACAAACCTTAGAAATTTTGAGACCTAATTGGTATTATCATAGAAAAAGGATGTTTACATCCCTTGTAAAGCAATAATTTACATAACAAGCATTTTATAATTTTGTATAAATGACTATTTTCTCTAGCATCTTTTCCTGGGAACAGCTTTACAGGTTAGCTGATAGAGGCATAACCTTGCAAATACCTGTGCAAATCTATTAAAAATCTCTTGTCTACTTTCACATACTGGTCTTCCTTGCTGGTACTTTGGCCTTAAATTGCTCTTGTTTCTCTCTCCAGAAATAAAATTTGGTCTTTTATATTTGAGCAACTTTGTGTGTACTTGAAGAGAAAGTTACTCTTCTGCTTTTAAAAAGGGAGTTTGTTTAGTACTGTATTATAGGTGACTCGGTTCAGTGTGAGCTTTTACCATCTTGTGAAAGTGTTACATTCCATGTAGTGAATGTTATATTAAGCACTGATTTGCTAATTTTCTATTATAGAGCATTTTCATTTCAGTAAACAACTGGTGCTCTCCACCTAAGAATGTATATAATGTCTTTGCAATATAGGTGAGAAGCAGAACTTGATTTAGCCAGGGAAGTTAACAAATTCTCTCTGCAAGACTAGGAGGGTAGTCTTAGACCTCAGGATGTGGCTTGAAATTTTTACAGGAAGCTGTAACTCACAAAGGGGCTGTTTGCTACTTGACTCCTGTTGGTATAGCTCCGCAGCTGACACGCACTAGGGTCAGTAAGTGCCTGTTTTGGAGGGAGAGTGCGCACTCAGGGTCAGTAAGTAACATGATCTTTAATTTTTTGGAGGGCAGGAACTGGCTGTCAAGATGCAGATTTATGTTGCTGTTAAGTTTGCTTTAATTTACAATGGTGTGATGTTCTGTACTGGGACACAATGAAGTTCTGCTCCTTATCTTTGAAGTTATGGAAAACCAAATACCATTTAACTGACTTAAAAAAAATAACAATGTGAACAGTACTGCGACATTTTTTCTATCCTAAAAACCGTGTGGGTAAATAATGGTGAGGCCTCTAGTTGAAGTTCACATTACCTTCAGACAATAAAGTAATTTATCAAAACAGCCTGCTTTTGTCTTATCATGATAACCATTAGTTGCTTGCTTCAGATTTTCTCAGGTATCAACAAACCATATTTCACAAAATGAGGCAAACTTAAGTCAGCTACAGTAGGTGATATGTCACCAGATAGTGTTGTCAGACTGGAAGACTCAGTCTGGTTTTCATGGAAGCAGAATGTGGAATGTCTGCTGAACTTGTATCCTAGCAGCTGCAAGGAGTAATGCTTTACAAAGTTAGTGTGGCATTGGTGAAGCATTAAGATTGACTGGACAGCTCATAGCTAGAGGTGAAGATACAAAGTAGGCTTTTTTTGTTTCTCTTCAGGAATTGGCTAGGCATTTGAAACTTCTGTGTCATGTGCTTAGAAGATAAAGGTTGATTATCTTCTTTACAGAATTGCAATGCCATGGTAGTACCTTTGAATGTCCTATCAGTATACTGGAGAGCAAAACACATTGTGGTTTTCTCACCACTGTAGAGAGTTTCTGTTTAAATGGGCATTTTCTGTGACACAGAGGAGTAACTGTGGATGATGGAGACAGACTTGTCTATCTCCTACAGTTTTGGCTTCCTTGGAGTTTACAGTGTTTAATTGGGTTGTATTGTACAGCATGTTTGTTTCCTAGAAGACTTCATTCAAAAATTCTACATTACCTCAGCAGAAGGTTAAAAACTTTCCTGAGTAGGTGTTCACCACCAACTGAGCAGCACCAGTACCTTTCTACTTCAATTTCACATGTATTACTATCTTCCTTCAACTATTCTGCACACTAAAAAAAACGATCAAAGCCAAAAAGCAACCAACCCAAAACATTGCACTAATGTTTGAATTTGTCATAGCTATCTAGAAATCTAGATAGAAAGACTGCACAGGTAAAAGTTCACATACTAAATATTTCAGACTTTCTAACGAGCGAGGCTTACAGCAGGGAAAAAGTTTCTCTAGCAGACTGAAAGCATGGTTTTCTATGCTTTTATGCAGAAAGCATGTGTAACTTAAGTGAGGTATGTGTAACTCATATGGTCAAGGAACAAAGCTTTGTATGTGAGTGTCAGATCCACTTAGGTCTCTCCTTCTAAAGTGTGTTTAAACCAGGTAACTATCTCTACACTTCATACTTTCATCTGGCAGTCAGTTGCTGCTCTTCACTTAATGATGCCTGTCTCACTACTATAAAAGTGACTTAAGTCATTTTTCAGGTGTTTCCGTGAACAGCTATTAGGATTAGAGGTATGCACGGAAGCTGTTTTTAATTCCCAATCACAAATTTAATTTAGGTCAAGCATGGGAAAAAAACCCGAAAAGGAGACTTGAGAATTCTCAGTCAAGTTGTTCACTGGTTTCAGAATTGTTTCATGTTCCAGTCACAAAGACGCTTGGCCAATTGCTTGCCACACTTCCAGTGTGTTACTGGCTCTGAGATTTTACAGAAAGGTGAGGGAACTTCTTTTCCAAGAGCTTCTGCTTTGTTTTCTCTAGGCTTTGCCTTCTTGCCCTTGTGCGTAAAGATTGTTCGAGTCTGAGCCTGAAATAAAGAAGTCAGTGTGGTTAATTTCTAGATTGCTTCTTATAACCTTTGTGGGATCAGTATTCATTTACTTTCAATAAGCTAAAGTGCCTTCAACGCAAATTAATCTTTTTCTTCTGCTTTTGAATTCAACAAAAATTCAACCGTAGGTGGCTTGCATGTAAAGTTACTTTTACACTGCAACTTCACAGGTAACCAAGCCTCTTAATGAGTAAGATGGGAACTACAAAAAACCAGAGCAAGCTGTTATTTTAAAAAAGCCTTATTTTCCATCTACCAACTGTAAAATAGGAAAATACTATTTTTTTTTCCTTGTAAAGTGGAAGAGGACTGAGGAATGGATCAAAAAATTATTTAAAATGTCAAAAACATCTTTTTACCTGATGAAGCGTTCCACATGAGGTAAATAATAAAATTTCCTCTTTTTGTATTTCTTGTTCAAGTACCATGGTATTGGCCATTCCTTGTAAGAATACCTGTTAAAGACAGATAAAACTTGTCATAGAATGTATACTTACTGTCTTCATTCTTGGATTCTACTAGGTACCCCTAGTCACAGCACAGTGACAAAGGGGTCTGACTGGTAAATCACGGAATTTGCCTGTGGGTGTTTAAGTGCTATTGCTGGCCTGGTTTGTAACTACAGCTCATATCTAACTCGTTTCTCAGTGTAAAAAGCAGTGTTGCTTTAAAAATTGGAAGTTTGAAGGGAGGGCCCAGTATAGATTGTGATTCTTTACACTTACATTTTAAACTTACTCCTCCATAAGAAAACTTTCAAAAGCTGATGTGAACAAACTGTGTGTGAAGAATTTTGTTTCTACTATAATTTTAAAATACCTGTGTCGGAGCATCATGTCAAGTTGATATTTGCCTGAATGTCTTTACCTCTAACTATAGACTTTATTATGTCTGTCTGGGGTTCCTCCTGTGTATGGGCTGCACAGATGGCTTCTGCAGACTCCTGTGCATCAAGATTGCGTCAGACCTACTGCTACATACTGCAGAGTTTCTGCATGTGCTTAAAAAAACCTCCATGGTGTCTGCCCCTTGCCCCTGCTTTAACTGGGGACTAGACTTTCAAATAAATGGGTAAATTCTTTGTGGACAATTTTTCCAAGCAGAAAGGTATCTTAGAATGGTTTGGTTTGTAAGGGACCTTAAAGACCATCCAGTTCCACCCCCCTGCTATGGCCAGGGACACCTTCCACTAGCACAGACTGCTCAAAGCCCTGTCCATCCTGGCCTTGAACACTTTCATGGATGGGGCAGCCACAACTTCTATGGGCAACCTATGCCAGTATCTCACCACTCTCACAGTGAAGAATTTCTTCCGAATCCATTTCTAAATCTACCTTCTTGCAATTCAAAGTCATTCCTCCTTGTCCTATCCACAGCACCAGCCTACAGCCAAGCACAACAGGATCTTTCCCCACTGATTTCCACCAAGCCCCTTCTCTTGGCTGTGGCTTCACTGGCTAGTAGGTAGGGACAGGAGTAATCTTGTTTATCCATTCCTGCATCTCACTAGTTAGATGATGAGGTACCTGGCTACCTTAGGAGAGTCACAGATACAGAAAGAAGTCTCATCACTAGAGATCTAAATCTAGTCATTGGTGCATTTAGTACTATGCTGATTTGTATTTTATGGGTAAACAAATGCAACCTTCTGTTATCTGCACTGTTACTGCCAAGCTTAATACTGTAATTAGTGCCTCAAATGCCAATATGATGAGGGTAAAATACTGCTTGATGAAATAGCAGGTCCTGCTAGAGCCTTCAGTATCATCACCTGAAGTTACAGATTACTGAAAGCATCTGGACTGTAAATAATTCTTAGAAGCTTCTAAGTTAACTATCTGGCAAGAGTAGCATGGAATTCCAAGGGACATTTAGGTGGTCTCATGCAACACTTTGGGTAGGTGTCTCCCAGTATGTGGATTTTGCATTAGAACCAGGGAAGTCCAAATGATTCAACTTGAGCAGTACTCCCTAGTTCATCTGTGTGTTGCAGAATAGCTATAGTGCAGAAATTATATCAGTTGCATGGAACTAATTTTATTAGAATTAATGGTAAAGCTCGCTACTGAATTGTTTAGCAACAATTATAACTGCATAAAAAACCCCAAAAAACCAACAAAAATCAAACAGGATATGAACACTGACCAGAAAACATTTCTTTCTATAAACTACATCCATGCTTTCCTGATTAGAAAAGGATTTCATGTAAAGAGACTTTTCCACAAGCAAAAGTCACATAAGAATTAAAAGAAAAGGTTCTCTTTCTCGTACCAGTAGGTGCGTCCTAGGAAGTCATGTCTCCACTCGCCAGGTACTGGCTTTTCATGGCCAGTTTGTAGAAGCCTCAAAGCAATTTCTCTTTCTCTGACAACCAAATCTATATTTTTCATAGACTCTTCTACCTGAGAATAGGAAACAGTTTCAAAATGGGCCAACAAAACACAATACTGACAATTCAAAAGATCTCAAATGAAGATATAAGACAAAATCTAAAGAAAAAGCAAAGGCTGAACACTCTGGGAATTCTGTCATCAGTAATCTCACATTTGTGGAGTGAGTGAAACAGCTGAATTGGTCCTGTGTTAGAACAGTAAAGAACCAGTGCTTTAAAAATGTAACTTACAAGCAGAAGAGAGATGAAATAACTGATGGTCTATTTCATTAAATAATAGATGGATAATACACAAAGCTAGATCTAATGCTGATGCCCAGCTCTGAGGCAGGGGCAGGGAGGAAGTAGAAGCATCAGCAGATATTTTATGTATTTCTGTCAGATGGTTTGTACTGGCTGTTTGTTAATCTAGTTTTAACTTTGGAGTTAGGTCACAGCCTCAATAACGCCTACTGGCTGATTAGAAAGCTGCCTCCACTAAATCATGCCACTTGCGTTGAAGCGTTTTAGTCAGATCTGTCCCATATTAACTGTAACATGCATTACACGTGGCAACATGTTAAATGCATGGGAACCTGCTAGAGCTAATTCTAATAAGCAGATTGCTGTATTTTGTCTCAGTGCAATCATAGTATTTAACTGGTGCTTGATTTCTAGTTTTCTTGGGCTACAGGGAATTAGCAAGATTTGATTTTTAAAGTGTTAGAGCCACTTAGTTAAGTTCCCTCCCAAAACAAGTTCTGTTGTGGTTTGTAACTGCTGAATAAGGATATGTAGAGGTAGGTCTGAGTCAAAAATGCTGTTCAGATTGGGAATCACAAAATACAGTTAAGAAACTGTACTGCAATACATTAGAAAAAGATACACTGACATCCAGTTTTATATTGGGTCTTCCCTAATTTACAAGTACAGTCATTAAATGACAAGAGGAGGAAACAAAATCATTCCATGTCTGACACAAAACAGAGAAATCATAATGGAGTTACAGATATATGTAATGGCAAATAACAGTTGAATTATTAAACATACAAAGAAATTCAAATTAACAATGTAAAGGCTTTTTCCAAATTAATTTGGATGCACAGGGGGATATCTGAGAATATCTCTCATGTCAAACAGCTGGATTATTTAACTGGCCAGTGAAGGTGTAGGTTTCCATCTGCGAGACATAAGCATAGAGATGGCAGTGGATTTACAAGTAAATGAGGATTCCAATAGTAAAGATACTGAGGAAAGAATTCAGTAAATTAGCAGCAGAACTCCAATAATGCAAAAGAAGGAGGGAATGTGAGGACACCAAAGAAATAAAGAGCACAAGTCTGGAGAAGACAATGTCAGAGGCAAGAAGCTGGCAACAGTGGAGGGTAAGGAGAGAGAGCATACTGAAGTTTTAGCGCAAAGAAAGCCAAATATTCCTTAATGTTATATAACAGGTAGAGAAACCTTTCCCACCGTGTTGACTGAGCAGTGTTTATGCACATACTAAAATCAGGAAAATAATATATGTTAAAAAAAAGAAAGAAAAAGGTAATTAAGTTTAAAACCACTTCATCTTTCAGCTATTTTAGAGTCATACTTTTAGCTATGTATGAAAATGTTACCTTTTCTAATCGTTCTGGACTTGGCATAGGCTTCAGTTGTCGTTTTGATTCTAGCTCTAAAGTTAAAAGCATGTTTTTTTCCTTCAGTAGGACATACCTAGATCAGAAAGCATAGTACTTCAGAAATAATTTCTGGATCTATTAGCAATTATTCAGTCACTAACCTGCTGGACAGAGCAGAGTTGTTCAGCCTCTGATCTCATATCCCATGCTTTCCAGCTCCACATGAAGAGGCAACGGTACTAATTGCAGAAAGCCCAGCAGAGGTGGGGAAGGCTAATACACAGAATCATAGAATAGCTTGGCTTGGAAGGGACCTTAAAGCTCATCCAGTTCCAACCCGCCTGCCACGTGCAGGTACACCTTCTACCAGACCAAGTTGCTCAAAGCCTCACAGAACCTGGCCTTGAACACTGCCAGGGATGGGGCAGCCACAGCTTCTCTGGGCAACCTGTGTCAGGGCTTCATGACCTTCTCTGTAAAGAGTTTCTATTATCTAATCTAAATCTTCCCTCTTTCAGTTTTAAGCCATTCCCCCTTGTTCTAGCCTATGTGCCCTTGTAAAAGCCCCTCTCCAGCTTTCTTGTTGGCCCCTTTAGGTAGGTACTGGAAGGCTGCTCTAAGGTCTCCCCTGAGCCTTCTCTTCCCCAGGCTGAAGAAGAACATACAAGCAGAAGCTGAGGAATAAAGGTTTACTTAACCTGGAATAAAGAAGGCTAAGAAGGGAAGAGGTTAATGCGAAGTAGTCTTCCACTGCCTGGACAGAGCCAGACTCTAACAGGTACACAGCATGAAGAATATCTAACAAGACAAAAACCATTCACAGTAATAACTAAATACTAACTATCTTAGCCCTAGCACAGGTTGCCTAGAGTGGTGATGCAATCTCTAGCCTCAAAGACTTTGGTACCAGAATAGATTCAGAGCTGAGGAACCTAATCTAATTTAATGGTCAGCCCCCCCCAGAGGTCACTTGCACCCAAGTGTCCTGTAGTTTGAACAACCCTCCAAGGGGTCCAGACACAGCCTCTTCATACCAAAACTGATCCTTTTGCATGAGGCACAGCTATCACATAGCCACCTGCTTTACAGCTTGTGCATGCTGTGTGGTACCTAAACTTGTGCTGTTCCAAGCATGAGGAGCAATACAGCAGGCTGGTGCATTAGCTAAATGTACTGACTAGTAAGTTCACTAGCCATATTTTAATAAAACATCCAGAGCTACTCTGAAACAAGAGCAGCTACTTCACTAAAACATACTTACCAAAGCTTGTGTAAGTCCTCACTACTCTTGGCCCTCAGTTGCTTTATATTCCATGCATCCCCTGTGAAAAGGGAAGCAAAAAAAATCATCAATAGGACAAAGTTCTCGTATTCCAACAGAAAAAAATGAGAAATGCTTCCATTAGCAGGCTTGGAAGTATTACAGAACAAGGGCCACTTTTTAGAAAAAGAGCTGTCCTTTGAAAGCTGTCCTTCTGGATACTCAGCTTTGCTTTGCACATACAAACACCTTAAAAAGGCAATTACATGTACTTTTATTTGTATCTGTAAGAGGCTGGGAACAGGCAAAGATGAAAAGTGAGTCTTTAAATTGAAATATTTTTCTTCCACAGTACTGTATATTTTAATCAAAGAACATTTCTTCTGTGATGCACTCTCACTTAAGAGCAAGGCAGAGGATTTACAGTAACATATTTTGCCGCGTAATAGCTATTTGCTTTCATAAACACAGAATACACACAGGAAAATAAAATTAACAGGTATAAAGATGCAAAAGTACTGTGTACATATACACGTTAAAAATGTTTTGTGTGCCTATGAATGCTTCCTAGAATGCAAAGGATGTCAGATTTCAGCTGAGCACAAGTGGCTCAAAGATCTCTATTAGAAATGATAAATGTAAAACTTACCGGACTTTACACTTTTTTCTCCCCAGTTTACTGGATCATCAAAAAACTCCTCCAGACCTTTCCGAGACAAAGTAGTGTGCAGAAACTTCAACTGATGGAGAAGCTCAACTTTTGCTTGGCTCTTGTGGAAGAGATTTGGGGTCAACCTGCATAAAAATTACAAGAAAAACCATATACGATAAGAAAAAAAAATAAATGCAGATGTTCTACAGAGAGATGAATGCCAGTCGAGGGAGGAAAGGCGTAGGTTCATTTCTTCATAAAACTCTCATCCCAGTGGTGTTTTCTCCTCCCCTCGTCTCATCTAATTATCAATTATGTATACTCAGAGATAAGTAAGTTTGAAATTTAGAAGAAAGAGTAAGTCTGAGCTACGTAGTATAAGAACACATCCTCCGACGCTGACTTCAGCTGAACGGCAAAAGCAGTAAACACACGGTATAAGCACAAAGAAAACCCACGCCGCAGTGATGCATGACAACAAAACGGCATCACGCAAAAAGAAGCGCTTCACGCTTACACAACGCCTCACAGCATAAGCCACTCGCCACACTCAAGCCGTGGTTTCAGAGGCCAGGACACCTGGACAGCCCGCCTCCCACCAAGGGCAGCTCTCCTTCCTCCCGGCGACGCGCCCGCGCCCACCCCAGCCAGTTCCTGAGCCTGTGCCGTGCCCACCCAGGGATGCCAGCAGCCATCAAACTCGGCCGCGCTCCTGACAGCCGCAGCGAGCCCACGAGGCGCCGGCACAGGGAGGACAGTCCCACGGCGGACGCCATAACCCGTCCCGCCCCGCCCCGCTCCTCCCACAATGCCTGGCTCCGCGGACGGCGGCCCGCAAGGACGCCGGAAGGGGAGAGAAGACTTTGCCATTTTCCAAGATGGCGTCTGCTTAGCTTCATCCCGCCTGAGAAAACAGCGCCACCGGCCCCGCCCTTTACCAGTTCCCGCCATGGCGGCCATGAGCCTGGTTCTCCGGGCAGCGGCTGCCTGGGGTGCCCGGCGGGCGGCCAGTGGCGCGCCGAGGGGAGCTCACCTGCCTTGGCTCGGCGGAGCCTCTCGCTTTCCCGGCACTGTCGGTAGGGCCTCGGCGGCGGGAATGGGGGGCGCGGGTGTACCAGGGGCGACGTGACCTTGGGGAGCGGGGGAGAGCTGCTCTCCTGAGGATGAGGTGGCCGCCCGTCCTGCCTTTCCCCATTGCACTGCGAATGGGGCAGAAGAGGGTTGCTGTGCGGTACTGTTACCGTTGCTTCCGCTCTTGTCTGTGCAGGTGTAAATGCGCTGGACGTGAAGAAAATTCCTTAAGGGGGTACAACGTGTGTCATTTCCCTCAGAAATTGCATTTCTGGGATAGAACTTGGATCAGAATTGGCAGGAGGCCAAACTTACCCATCTGTGAATTTTTGGCTCCATATGATGACTTTTGGTGATTTCCTTATTGGGACTTGCAGGGAGAAATAGACCTATGTTGGAAGTTAAAAGAAAAATAGGTTCATCCTAGCAAAATAAGAAATAGACAAACTTGTAGGTACACTGATATCCCCCAGAAAACCAGCTTGTAACTATTCAGATGGTGTTGCATGCTCTTTGTTTGTTTACCGCATGTGGTGTTGACCTTGTCCTGGCACAGTCACCAAAGAGAGAAAAACACATAATACTTTGGTTCAATTTTCAGCTCCTGTACGACATAGCAGCAGCCATGGGAAAAGAATGTTCATTATCAACGCAACAAAATTTTATGATACTCGATTTCTGAACTTGTTGGTGAGTTAAAACCGAATTTACTACATTCACTATAACACATCCTTTGCAAATGGTGTAAAAATGTCTAAGATACAATTTTCTCTATTGTTTACTTGACAGCATCTAAAATGTGGCTGGCACTACTGACATAAGAATTTCCAGTCCTCTTTCTAAAGATTTTTTTTTTGTCATGTGTTGTAAAATCAGGGCCAGATGAAGTAAAAAGAATGTCTGAATGGTAAAAATTGTGATAGGTACTTAAAGCTGTAGTAGCATTCTTAAATTATGTGCATATGTTATATATGCATAACCTACACATGCTTTGTACTATAGTCTCCTTTTAATAATGTATTAGGTTACTCTTCTGCAGGGTTTGGCTTCAGTTACCCAAATCCCTAGCACCAGAGATGAGACTTTGGAAGCCTGACCTCAATTTGCCCCCTAAAAAGCTATAGGTTTTGGGTAAAGCCTGTTACGACCAGTAACAGCCAACTTGATATAACCCTATTTTGTGCACTCAGGCTTCCTTTGTCTGTCTTCCACAGTTACCAAAGCCAGCACTGGTTGTATCTATGATGGATTACATTACATTGGTGTTAGTGCCTTGGTATGGTTAAATGCTGAAGCTGGTCATCACAAGATGCTGAGACAGCATTCAGGGAAAGCATTACTGCCTGCTTCTGCAGAGACTGAGAGATGGGAAGCTGAACTAAACAGGCTCTTGGACTGACACAGCATCATCGTTTCTGTGTCTAATTAAGCCATTTTAAGCAACCGTATGTCTTTACATACAGCATCCTTATCTAAGATACGAATGCAAATCTGTTGGCTCATACATCATTTTCAGACTAACCTCATTTAAATGTTGTCAGGCTTCTGAGTTTCCCGTACTGTTTCTTTTTTCTTTTATCCCCTGTACAGCGATTCTATATATTTCTGACGGGAATACCAGTGGCAATATTTATAACATATGTCAACATCTTCATTGGTGAGTATTCTGTCGTGACTAAGCTAAATACGCTGTCAAAAATTATCAACTGGAAACTAAGCATGCTAGATAGAAACAAGTGATCTCTTAAGGTTTGCTCTTTGGGAGACCATGAAATAGGCCTAACAGTTATGGTAATCCCGTAAGTATATGGAATATGTTCCCAGTATTTTCATTTTTCTGTAGTTGTTGCTTTTTAAAAAGAAGTTTACCGCATTTTTAAAAACAGAAGAATTCCATCTTTTTGACAGTGTTTCAAACATCAGTGAGATTTAGAGAACAGTTCTGTATTCAGATGAGGAGTCTGTATTACTTTGTTTGGCATACTTTAAAAAGGGTGCATACACCGCAACTGTCGCTTTTATCTAGCAATAAAATTCTGCTTGGCAATACTTGTTTTAAATCTACTACTATAATAATATGGAATTGATTTAATAAAGAAATTAGGAAAAATCCATGCTTTCAGCTCATATACTTTAAAGGGCATTTGTGTGGACTTGATCATAGTTATTTCTTATGTATAGCAGCTAAATTCACACTGTTGTGTGGCTTAATCTATGAGCTAGATATACACAGTGTGACGTGTCTGGAAATATTTCTGAATAGAGCTCAGACTGAGGAACTAAGTACCCTCCCACTTTCCCAATGTGCAAAGTAGAATATAAAGTACATAAAAGAAAAATACTTGAATTAAATGTTCCTCCCTTTTCCTTGTCAGGTGAAGCTGAACTTGCAGAGATTCCTGAAGGTTATATTCCAGAGTACTGGGAATACTACAAAGTGAGTGTAATGTGTAAAAGGGTGGCATGTTTATCAACAACCTTCCTCTTGATGACACTTTTGGGAGTAAAATGTGTGGAATATGATAATGAGGATGGCTTTGGGTATTGGTGTAACAGAACTCAAATTCTGCAATTATGATTTTGGTAAACTTGCTTTTTTCAGTTTATGGAACATGCATGTTGCTGTAGGAGGTCTGTTTATTGACAAAAGTAGCTATGAATGGTCTGTAACTATATGCAAGTAAACTGCTGAAGCTGTATGTCAAGATTTTTTTCTAATATTCCTAAGTAGTAAGAACAGTCTTCTGTTCTCTTTATTCCTTGCATGCAGTTTTTGTCCTTGTTTCTTGCTCTGGAACTACAACATCTTAAGATACTGGAGTTTAAAGTGACATTACTTTCTTTTGTACTGTTTGCTACTGTTATTTCAAAGTCTAACACTACACAGGCTTTTATATCTAGAACTGGAGATTTTTATATTCAGAAACTCTGTTATACTTTTTTCATTTTATTATATTTTCTTAAAATTAGTTTGTGGCTTATACTTTTTTCATTTTATTATATTTTCTTAAAATTAGTTTTTGGCTTCTTGCTGCAAGCACTGTTTTGGATAGGAAGTAATTGAATTCAGTGATTCTATTATGACTGTTTCAACTCACTTAGACTTCTGTTCCTAGTGAAATGACTTCTATGTGGAAGCAAAACTTTAAAATGTCACTGAATACGGTAAGAGGTTTGGAGTCCATTTCTGTAATTACGGATGAAGTTTTTACTTCAACAGAAAGAAAATAATTCATGTCTTCCATTGGTCTTTAATTTTGCTACAGAACAGTCACCTGCAGGTTATCTTGGCATCAAAAATGTCAAAAGAAATACGGCATTTGAGAGTTCTGATCTCAGAAGTAGTTGAGCGTGTTTTTACTTTTACTATTACGATTTGAATGGCAGCATTCATAGTGTTGATGACATGTTTTCAGGACCAGGAACATGCAAAATGGTTTAGTTATGATGACATTTCTACTTGGAAATTGCAGGAATAATCTCGGCTTTTATATTTTCCAGCACCCTATAAGTCGCTGGATAGCTCGTTACCTCCTTGACCCCCCTGAAAAGGACTATGAAAAGGAGATGGCTGTACTTCATGTTGAAGCGCAGAAAACTCAAATGAGGTATGTTATGTAGCTCAGGGGTTTAAAAAACTGATACATACCATAGTTGACCATTTGCTTAACTTACAAAGTTGAATGCTCATGTAACACGCTTACTTCTGTATCGCTTGACTCTGAATGCTTGCTGCACTGGGTGGTGTGAAAGTGGAAGTTAGGGTATCTGTAGTCTCTGCCTTCTCAGTGTTACTAGAACTGGAAGGATCCAAGGGTAGTCTTGTAAAACAACACCGACTCTTCAGAACAGTTGGTATTTGTAAAGGTATAGCTCTGTCTTCCTGAGTCAGCAGCTGGACAGCTCTTTTTGCCTCTGCTAATGCTCATCACTTAATTGGGCAACTAAGTGACAGTTCACAGGATTGATACTGTTTTGTTCTTGCTGTTGAAAATTTTGTGGGCAGGAATGACATTGTACTGAGTTTGTTCTGCACTTACTCAGAGTAAACCGTGGTGGTGGAAGAAAGTCTGAGTTCCATGAACTGCTGCCACTTGGACCAAGACAGCATAACTCCTTCTACTATCACATTTACTTCTGATTTTCTTGCTTCTATGTATTCTTAATTGAAAGCTGTATCAAAACTGTCTAGCCCCTTACTAGGCAACAAGCTGTGACAGAACTGCAAGTATTTTTATTACTTTTCTATGACTTGCTGAGAAAAAAGATCGAAATAGAAGGCTGTAATAGCTCATGTTTTAGTTGAGCCCTTCATATTTTGGTATTATTTATGTTTCAGTAGTATTAACCATATTTAGAATCTTTTAGCATACTTAGCATCTTTAGCATACTTAGCATCTATTTATTACCCACAGGTGCTAAACTCATTGCTGACATTGATATATATATGATCAAACCCAATAAACTTCATGTTGAGTGTGTCTGTTGGTTTGGTTTGTTTTTTTTTAGGCTGATGGAGTTGGAGGCACGCAAACTGATGAGACAGAGGGGCGATGGACCTTGGTATCAATATGAAACACCTGATAAAAATCTTGTTGACAATTCTATGAAATCCACACCTGACAATTAAACAGTTTTAAGACTGTATGCATGGTCTTAAATGCATACCAACAGATTGTGGCTGAGTTATGTAATACACATCCTGCTGTTAACTGATGGAAATCAATAAACCGTGTTTTTGTTGATTCTCATAATTTGAAAGAAACTGTGTGGTAGTTAAGCTCATATAGCTCTTAAAGCTGTTAATCAGAGAAAATGCCTTATATCAGTTGCCAACAGTTATTCCTTTTCTCTAGAACACAGGTGTAGAATGGGCTTTGTGACCTAATATATATGAAACAAGTTGGTGTTAGTGTGCATCGTGTGAATTCTAGTATTAAAAATTTTCAATGAAAGGTATGGGAAACTGCAAGGCTTTCTTGTGCAAAGCGTTCCCAGGTAATTTGTAGAAGATTAACTAAGTAAGAAAAATATCTTCAGATCTTCAGAATATTAGGATTATATCTACCCCTTTAGGCAAATAGTTTTTCTCATTACTTGTAGTTGAATTCATCTGTTTTTTCCCAACTTGCATATTGTTCAACAAGGTGCTGTCATTTTCTCTGCATACGTTTCTCTCTTTAGAGAACTGTTAATAGCCTTCATCCCTGATAGTGTCACCCATGCTGTTCTTCCTTTATTATTGCCACCAGTTCTAAACTTTTTTCTTCTTGTATATGCATCATTTATGCTTCTCTATCATTTTCTCCAGTCTCACCTCCTATATATAGTCTATGTCTGTAAAAGACTTTGTAAACAGACTCTTAAAAAGCCAAACCAATGTCCCCCCACCACCCCTCCCAAAAAAAAAACCCAGACAAAAACCAAACTTTGAACTGGGCAATTCTCTATGTAGATCATACAGAAATTGTTGTCTGTTGAACATATTTCTCCATGGTTCTGGGGGTTTTTGGTTGGTTGGTTTTTCAATGGTTTGGCTTTAAATAAGACTTAAAAGTGTAATAGGTACTTTTGCTTCATACTCTAAATGGTAATATATCTAAAACAGAGCCACATACTCCCTTTGTGGCAGAAAAGATTTTCAGTGATGAAAACACATTTCAAGGTAATACATTCATATTTCAGAAAAATCTTAGTGAGAGATACATACCATTGTCACATAACTTTCATGTTATTAAATATGTATCTAGGGACATGAAGAATCAGATGTTGCGGGGAGGATAGTCTTTACTAGGTGTTTTTTTACACTTCTGACAGTTATGTGGGGAATATAGAGGGTACTCTTCATCTGGAAGACTTTTGCCACTAGAGGGATGTGTTTCCTCGGAGGCTGTGGTACTCCTTCGCTTTTAAATGCCTCAAGAGATTGATGGATTGATGCCTCTGACACTTTGTGACATTAAACTATCTGTCCAGTTCAAAATTTCTACTTTTTAAGGATATAAGCCAAAATACCCCTGGCCATCTTGTGGTTTGAAGCTGTTAAAACATAAATTTATGTGAAGCAACATTACACAGACCATTTTAAGCAAAGACTGCCTTGTTTGCTGTTTCCTAGCGCTGCCAAACATTAGAAAGACCCAGATTGATTTTTATATCAGTACAATGACTTTTCCTATTTGTTTGAGGCAATCTTTCAGATTAGACAGCTTGTATGTCTTACTGTGGCTCTCATAAATGCTGAGTTAATGATGGGGGAAGCCATTACAAAAGCACAAAGTTTGCTCAGGTAAAGTAAATCTGTCTGGTGACTGTATTGATTTGGGTTTTATTCAGCATCCAACGATGCTCACAAGTTTTTGATGCAATGTCTGTTCTTCAACTAAGCCTAAGGCCATTCATTCTACTGATACCATAATTTAGCCCTAGTATTTAACACTGTTCCTTCCCAACACTTGAAACACTTCTTTTAAGATAGAAAGAATGCTGAGAAAAGACTGCAGTGGTCTCACTCTCACAGCCTATTTCTTTGTAGCTGGATACAAAGTTAATATTCAAGTCTGTTGTTAGTTGGGATTTTACTAGACTCACGTTTTGAAACTTAATTTGAGGTAAACAGTGGTTCTAGCAAAGGTCACATCACCTGCTTGGATTGAATCCTTGGATATAATGTGGACTGTAGGTGGAAGGCATTACAGATCTTAAATTGAAGTGATGGGTCATTTCTTTAATCCTGCTGCTGTCAGGCATCTGTAGTAGTTATGCGGTATCTAGAGGCAGGGGGGAAGAAAACTCACTTTTTCCCAGAAGGTTACTTCACTCTATTTCTCCTTCCCCCAGCTATATTATTTCAAAATGAAAAGCAAAGAGAAACACAGCAAATGCGGGGGGGGGGGGGAGGTAATTTTAAGCTAAAGGTCCCATCTCTCAGGACATAGGTTTAGTTGCTGGTGCTGCAGCAGGCTTCCTAGGAGACCTCGGGCTGGGTCTTCCTGCCCTGCATGCCAGCAGCCCGCTCCTCTGTGCCAGCCCGTTCCGCTCGCTCTGGCAGGTTACACACCACTGTTTCAGGGTCCCCCGCAGGCACCACCACCAGCGCCGTCCAGGGCGGGGCCGCCACACTCTTCCAGTATACCCAGTGGTCAGGGCACCTTTGCCGTTAACTGCAGGGCGGGTCTGAAAGCTTACTTTAGGCATGTAAAGTTAGTAGATCCTTGCAGCTGAGAATTAATATACACTTAATATTTGCTTGCTGAAAAATAAATGAAGCCTCCTGTAGCAGAGCATTACTGCTCAAAGGCAAACATGCTCTGAGCTACCCAGGGAGACCTGGAGACCAAGCCTCAGTTGTCTCATAGAACCACAGAATGGTTTGGGTTGGAAGGGACCTTAAAGACCATCTAGTTCCACCCCCCCCGCTATGGGCAGAGACACCTTCCACCACACCGGGCTGCTCCAAGCCCCGTACAACCTGGCCTTGAGCACTGACAGGGATGGAGCCGACCCCTCCGGGAGCCGCCGCGGGGCCTCGGCGGGGGCGCAGCACGGCCGCGCGCAGCCGGCTGCCACCTAACGGTGGTCCGAGGCACGCGCGCGGGGGCGGGAATCGCCTCAGGGGAGCGTCCCGCACCGCCCCCGCGGGCGGCACCTCCCGGGGCCCGCCGCCGAGGGACGCGCGGAGGTCGCGGGGGCCCGCTCCGCCCCTGGCGCCCTGCCCCTCCCGCCCGCCCGCGCCGGGACCCCCGAGTACAGCCGCTGCAGCTGGTGCTGCTGCCGCCGCCATTGGATTAAAAATAGCATCTTCCCTCCCCCTTTCCTCCTGCGGGCACGGCGCTCTCGCCGCGCCCTGCCCCGGGCCCGGCTACTATCCGTCTCTATTGCCCTCGCACTGCCTGCTCGTCGTCCGCCGGCCGGCGGGACTGAAGGAGCATGCAGCGGGCCGCGCTCTTCAGCGGCGGTGATGCGCAGATGGCTGCCGGGGACCTGGGCGAGCTGCTTGTCCCCTACATGCCCACGATCCGAGTGCCCAAGTCAGGGGACCGGGTCTACAAGACGGAGTGTGCCTTCTCCTACGACTCGCCTGTGAGTGCAGCGAAGCCGTCCTGGCTGCCTTCTCTCCCCCGCCGGCGCCCGACCTGCCCTCAGCCGGCGCTCTACGGGAAACGCGCCCCTTCCGCGGCCCGTTCTCCATCGCACCCCCGTCGGGGAGCAGCCCGTCTGTTTCTCCTGGGGTCGCTGCTTTTTCCGCAGGCTTCATAATCTCGCCTGTTCCTTCCGTTACCAGCTCGCCCGCCTCCACCTGCCGTGGCTTACTCCGCAGCCAGCCTTCCCTTCGATTTCCTCCCACCCCCCGCCAGGCTAGCGGGCTTTCCCCGCCACGCGTGGGGATCGCGGCGGGTAGAGGCCCAGCCCTGCCCCGTCCCGTGCCCGCGGGCTGCTGCACCGGGCCGCCTCTCGGCACATCGCTGCCGGCTCGTACGCTGTTGCCGTGCTTGTTCGTGTATTTCCCTTTCTCCTTAAGGCGGCCCGAAGGGGTTGCTTAAACATGGGGTTTTAGCAGATTTGGGGAAACTTTCCTGCTGGCTGGGAAGTGGTCTTTAGTGGTCCGGGTTCTCCCGCACCCGTAGGGAGATTTGTGTTTGCTTTCACACGGGTAGTAAAAATGGGGAGTAGCTGGCCGCGTCGCTGGCATGTTTCCGCTATTAGATGCCAATCGTTTTGATTTTCTGCTGTGTCGGTGCTCGTTGTTCTTTAGCAGTCTTGGGAGAAAGCTTCCAAAGTAAAAGGCTGTTCCTGAATATGAGTGTGAAAGTAGTTCTGAAACACTCTCTCCTAAGGTTTCAGTTTTGTCACTGGGCTTCAATGAACTTGTACTGTTTCCCCACTAGCTTGGTTAGTTTGCTGTCAAATGAATGCTTGATGTACAGGAAACTTTCCATGGTGTTACAGCTGCCTTGCAAAACACCCACAGGCTCCACAGACTGTACGTGTTCAGCAGCAGTTTTGGGCCTGACTAATTCTTAGTTTTGCTGATAATGTTGGAAGCCGTCATTAATAGGAATGATAAATGCTTTGTAAGAAACAGGTGCTTAGAAATTACACTTTTTAAATGGAGCTGAAATTTTAATAAGTTTCTTCTGTACATGAAGTTGAGGTTTCTCAGAGGTGGTTGAGCACTCTGTATTGATGTTAAGTCAATGGCAGCAAGCAAAAGGAAGCTCAGAGTTTACAAAATATTCAACGAAAGATACATTTCAGACATTTTTTAATTCTTTAACCCCCTATTTTTAATAATACTATCCAATTCAGAAAATCAAAATTGGTTTAAAGGTGACTCAGCTGTCTGGTGTTCATCATGTCTTGTTGAACAGAGGTTATTTTTACCCGCACTCTTCAGATCTCAAGTGTCACCCATCAGCCCTGACTGTTCTGGGAGGCAGTCAGATTAAAACTGCCAAAGCAGACTGCTGCAGAGGTGCTAATTGTATTATATATTTAAAAAAGTTGTGCGTTTATTGTTTTTTTGGGGGGGGAAGGAAATCAATGTACAGCAATTTTCCTTTAAATTTCTGCTTGGATGAGCACATGGTTGATTTTTTTTAGCAACACTTTCATTCGTATTCAGAATTGTGGTTTATAAAAGTTGCTATTAACAAGTAGGAACGGATATTAAATACTGCTGCGGATTGAAAAAGTAATCACATCCCCCAACAAGCCTGAAGTAAACACAACAAAAGCTGTGTGTAACAAAACAATGTGTTTGAACAGAACATAACATTTGAGAAAAACTTAAAAGATGCTCTGTATAAAACTAACAAAAGGAATTGGAATTGCCATGTGTGATTTTATTTTTTTATTTCTCCCCAAAATGTTTCAGCCTTTTGATTTTATTGGAAAGAGATTTCAGATTTTGGACAATGTTGTTCTCTGTTGTTGAAGCTTTTTGATAAAATTGCATTATAGGCATTCACTGGGCAAAAGGCTTAGCGGAACCTGTGCAGTACCAGTAAAAATGGAACTGCTCTCAGTTTCTATTGTTTTCCATGGCTTTTCAAGCCCATGCCACTCTGCACCTTAGCTGAACAAAGACATAACCTCAGATTTTATTTTTTCTTCCTGTATAATCTAATGCATGCCGAACATTGTTTATAGGATGACAATTCTAAAGAGCAAGTTTGTGCATCCTTGGGTTAAACAATGTTATTTTCAAATTGAAAATCACAGAACTGTGTTTTTTCAGTCTTTTGTTCAGAAGGAAGATGAAGGGATACAGACAGGTTGTTGCCCTGGCTAATGGGAGTTGTTTGTGCTTTGTATTCAGCTAGTTTTGCAATTTGTTTTCTTGGCTCAGCTATGTATAACCCAAGCAAGCCTCTTCCTATTGAGGTGTCTGCCTCCTTTTGGAAGAAGATACACACTTTGCTTGTTTTGTTAAATACTAAAGCAAATGATCAGTGTTTAAAAAATGCACTCTTGACTTTATGATCCATGGTAAAATTCCAAATTACTTTTTTGATATCAGAGGTGTTTTCTCTTGTAAGCTTCTTTCTCTGTGTTCTTCACATCATCTCATTTTGCCATTTTAAATATGCTCCCTGTTGCAGTTTAACTTCAGCATGTATCTGGAGTCAACTCAATGCAAGATGTTTTATTCTGTCACTTTTCTTCAGTACCAGATCTTTAGTAGTTTAATTAATGCTGTAAAATTGTCTCTCAAGCTTTACCTTTTTTGGGTTTTTTTTGTTTTTTGTTTGTTTGTTTGTTTTGGTTTGTTGTGGTTTTTTTTTCTCCTCCAAAGCGAATTTCCTGACAGAGAAGTAAATTTTCTGAGTGTCTATATCTTTAAAGTGTTGTATCCAGTCACACGGCAGCTCTATACTCAAGATTTTTTACACTGATTGTGTATTATTACTTTTCCTGTAAGGAAGTCTTGTGATCTTTAAAATACCCTAACCATCAGACATGTGATCATTAAGGTACAAAGTAGTATTATATTTATAAATAAAAGATTCTGCAGCAGTTTTGAAAAAGACCAAGAAGGGTGGGATGGTCAAAACCAGAGCTAATTATGTCAGGGGGTGCCAAAGAAAATGAGGTACTGGGTGTGAGCCTCCACCTTTAACTTTCAGTTGTGCAAAGCTTAAAGAGCCTGGAAGACCTGGCTTTGTCATTCTATCATTGTGTCCCTTGTCCATATTTGAGCAGTGTAGTATCACTGAGATTGATGTTCCAGTGGATATGGGCAGCTTCAGTGTTTGTTCTCAAATTGGTTGAGGTTTCTTTTCCATGAGTTGGAAATCTTACTTCCTGGGGTGAAGGTCTGAGAACAGTGGTACTTTTGTGCTACAAAGAAAGTTGTTAGTTCAGATCAAAAGTGAGGTAGGAGAGGTACAAGAGGATATTCATTGTATTTTTTTTTCCATGTGGATTAACTGTAGCATGATGGTCTTGTTAGTAAGGTAGTATTGTTAGAAAGACCACTAGAGAGATGAGAAATTCATGTCCTTAGATTTGGCCTATTTCCAACAACATACTGGGGTTGGTTTCTAGGAAAGCTGTCAGAAACAGGAAGCAAATTTCGGTGTGCTTAAGAGCCTTAGAGACACTTTTTAGTTTGCTTCTCTCGTAAGATTAGAAAAGATGCTTTTTTTAAGAGTTAATTTTTAATGACTTTTCTGTGTTGGTTGGTGGTTGGTTGTGGGTTGGTTTTTTTTTGTTTGTTTTTTGTGGCTTCCAGAAAAACTTTATCTAATGAGGACTCCTACTCCAGATAACCATTGATAATTTATACAGGAATTGAGTGACTGACCCAGCAACCAGCTATTGTAGCCTAGTACCACTTCCCTGTTTCCAACTTAGCTGATGAAGTCCTGTACCTCTCATTTTTCAGATCTGACACATGGCTGTCCCTCCTGGTGACTTTTTTTTGTGTCTGTGCCCCTCTCATGGGGGTTTCCTGTCTCCTATTTCCTGTCTCCACTGTGACCTCTCTTCCTCTTTTGGCAGATGATCCAGACTTTGTGTTCAGTACAATGCAGGAGGCAAAAAGATTGTGGTATATAATCTTTTGTCTTAGTATTATTTCTATAGAAGTATAGTACTCAGCTGGAAATTCTGTCTTTTAATGGGATCCTTGTCTCAAAGGCCTCCAATCATTTTGGAACAGACACATCTGAGGGAGAGGCAGCTGCTACAAAAGCGATACAAACTGGAGCATAAGCAAGGTTTGCATTCAGGCTGTGTATGTTTAAATGGATATGCTCTGAAAGCTTCTCCATGAAGGGCATTGTTCTACAACCACAGCACAGGTCATGAGCACCTCTCATCTGGCTTTTCCTTTGGTCAATATTCATTGAAGAAAATTAGTCACTGGAGCTACTCTCTGGGACGGGTAGCCTGGTATCTTGTTTCTATTGATGGGACAGGAGCAGCAATGAGGAAACACGTAAGGTGACTGAATACACCAAGACAAATCGAATATTCCAGACAAAGGATTTTAGCCTAGATGCAGAATTGTATCCAAGTTATAGAGGGAGTGAATTGCCTGGTGGTGGGTGATCACCTGAAAAATCAGAGCAGTGCTGTATGGTTGCATCACAGGGCAGTACCAAAGCTGTCCCATGGGTGAGTGTTTTGCTGGCTGGGTGCGTACCAGGACACCAAGGTTAATGAAATGGTCTTCCAAAGCTGGAGAATGGTAAAATCAGTAAGGGCTGTGCCTGCAGTGTCTCACAAATGTGAGACGTAACTATGTGGATTTGGAGAAAAAAACGTGTGTCTGTGTTGTACATTTCTGTGTGTTTGATCTAAATTTGGGTCTTACTAGCCTTTCCTTCTATAGCCATGACTGACCAAACGTTAGTTATCCTGTTATCCAGAGCAGTGATGGGCTGGAATATTATGGGTAGCAGAGAGACTTTGATTGTAAGTTACCTGGAGTGATAGAGGATAAACACAGAAATGCAGATGAATGGACAACCCTGCACCTCTGCTGAATCACTGTGGAGCCATTAGGTTTCTGCTCAACTCTTCCCCATGTTTTCTGTTCTGGAAGCAGTGTCTTTGTGACCAACAGAATGGTA